AAAACCAGAACTCTGTAAATGCTAATACCAACATCACTACCCTTCAAGATGGGCCCAGTAGCCACCATGTTATGGGATTTTGGTTCATCTCCTGCTGAACTGTTTGTCTCTCAGGGAGTAATACAAGGTCCTAGTTTATTTCAAGATCCACAAGTGTAAAATGGAGTTACTTGAGTTACTCTGCATTTAGCGTGTATCAATACAGTTTCTCTGCAGTATTGCTTACCACAAGTCCCCCTTCTCTAATCCTTTTTTTTTTTTTTTTTAAGAAAGTGAATCATTCCAATTAGCAGTTAAAAAAAAAAGAAAGAAAGAAAAAAGAAAGAAATTGAAAAAAAAAAGAAAAATAAAAAAGAAACACATGACTGGAAACTCAGTAATTACCCTAGATTGTGCAGTTTTTCTCAAGTCTCGCTTTCCTAACGCATAACGATTTTCCTCATGCTTCAGCACAACATGATCATACAGGTCAAAAAGACATCACTCAAATAATAGTCTAAAACTTTGTGCTGTCTGATAYGAAGTGGATATTCTTATAATTTTCATCCCACAGAAATGTGGAGGAAGATTTAAAAAAAAATGCAGATTTCACATAACAAAGTAAATTGTGACAGAGCAAGTTGCAAAAGCAGTCTTTGCATTATGCTAAAAAAAAAAGATACTTTGAAACAGATAAAAATGTGTTCTACTTTTTTATCGTATCTGATTATAACACGGACCCCTATGTACCTAATCTGTTCAGATTCACACTTTTTTTTCCCCCTAATTCTTTCTTCCCAAGCTAAAGAAGAGGTCGCCTCATGGAATGTAACTGGTGTGTGACAGATTTTGGCAAGTACATATTTATAATCATTTGTAGTGAAAGATTGGTTTTACTGAACCAAGCAGTGTTACTCAACCGGCTTAACAACTACGAAAGTGTKGATGGCTGGATTAGCCAACAATCCATACATAACGAGCTCAAAATTTCATTTCTTACTTTCTATTTTTGCATTCCTGGTCTGGAAGCAAACTAGGAGCCAACATCCTTGAAGTACTGTCTGTTGTCCAGTGGGCATCGGGCCGATGGCAGCAGGAAAGATAGTTGGATTTTAAGCAGCTTCAGCTGCACACATCTCCCATCATTGAAAATTTAAACTGGAAAAAGACAAAGAAAAGGAACGAAATAGAAAAAGTGGGACTCGAAATTCGATAGACATTGCTATGGGCTTGAAGAGGAGAGACTTAAAAGGTCAGAGAGCAAACGGGAACGGCCACAATCATCTGACGGCAGCTGGAAGGTAAGTTGATGGACACCGGTTTGACCTGCAGGTCAACACACTAGTTTAGCTCTACCTTGATCTGCACAACGCGAGACAAGTTCCCGGCTCCTATCAAACAACTCAATGCCTTTATCTGAAAGGGTTTAGTAAGAGTAAATCAACTACAAAAAGGGGAACTATTCAACCTTCAAGTGCTGTGCTTTGCTCCTAAAATGGGGGGGGGGGGGAATAAATGTCCTTTCCTGTGGAGCCCGTAAGTGGCTCCTGGGCGGCTCCGTGCCGGGCAAGGGACTCTGTCCTTGCGGCCCCCGCGGAGCGACTACCCTGGGGAACCACGCAGCGCTCCACGCGGGACAGGGCCTTTTTTTTTTTTTTTTTCTTCCCACTGTAACCTTTTCTGTGCAATGGGATAGCGGAGAAGTGATGTGAGAAGTCATCTACACCTCCCTCTCCTTTTTTTTTTTTTTTTTTTTTTTACTTGGTGCTCATCCCATTTCCTCAGGACCGGAACCTCCAGGCAAAATGCACTCAGCCTCTCACTCCCACTATGGGAACCTGGTGCTGCGACCCTGCTGCATTTACATGGCATTACAAAGAAAGAAAGGAAGAAAGCAGGGGGAAAAAAGGCAGAGCAAACTGTTGCTTTGTTTCAGTAGAAAACTTTGCAGACCTCTGACTGTTGCATTTGTAATGCAGTTAATTCGGAATGCCGGTCAGAGAAACTCAAGCAGAACAGCTCCTCTTTCCAGGGTATTTTAAAAGTCCTTTTTAAACCCCAAAGCACGCAAAGTATCGAAATCTTGAGTGCACCTGGAGTTGACTCTTATCGACTTTTTAACTCCATATCTTAACACTTGCCCCTGTGTTATGTATATATCGGCACTGTGTGCAATCGCTAAAGAGTATTTTTGTACACCGATTCAGTGCTTAGTTCGGATTTTTTTTTTAGTAATTCAACAGTATGCATCTCCTTCCTACGTAAAATAAGAGGCCTGATCTCCAAGTAGGAACATGCCCCCTCTTGTCCCTATCTTCCTCCACCTCGATCCCGTTCTCTCCACCGCCTCTATCCCCACCCTCGCCAAAAAAAAAAAAAAAAAAAAAAAAAAAAAAAACTTAACAGAGAACCTCACGACTTTTTGCCAAAACGTCAGTCAAATGTCATAAGCACTTTTCTTTCTTGAGCAAAAGGCTACGTTTTAGGGAAGCCTCACTACAGTGCTTTTTTGTTGCTGTTGTTGCTTCTGCTGTTGTTCGGGGACCTGTGGATGACGCTTAGAGGAAAGCAACAGTTGCGGAGCTGGCTGGCAATACATGGGAGCGCTTTGGAAAGCCCTCTGATTACCGCTGCTCCGGGCAAAGCGCCGCCGGACAAGGAGGCAGCAGCTCCTCGCGCACAGCCGCGAAGTTTCCCACCCCGAGAGCAGCAGGAGTCGGCGCTGCATTAATTAGMGCAGCTCCCAGCGGCAAAGACGCTTTCGAAAAAAAACAAATTTCGCGGAATGCCATTTATTTTATCTTTCAAAGAAAAAATATCTTTAAATCTTCAACATTAAATCGCCGTTCATAATGGACCTAGCTCCACACGAAAAATAAAATCAAATGCAAATGCATACAGAGCTTTTTTCTTTAAGATTTTTTTTTTCTTTGAGAGTCACCACATTGTTAGTATGATAAAACAGAAGGTGTTTTCTGCTTTTTCAGAAAGTTTTTTTTTCTACTAGTGCATTATTAAAAAAAAAAAAAAGAAGGAAAATACCAAATTACTCATTTTAATGCCTCAAAGGTGTTCACGCTAGATGTTAACAATCTATAACGAAAAATAAATGATTCCTTGTATTTTCACTTTTAAATGAAGCTCCAGAGAACTATTCAGATGGTATGACTCCAAAGTAAATCACAGTCTGTAATGATTGAATGATTAAAAAAATTATCTGACCTATAATTGAATATTTTATCTGGAGTTTATTAATACCATTTAAAATATTACAGATAAAAATCAATTACATTTCATGCATTTAAAATGCAAATCTAAAATGTTCCAGCGAAGGGCTTTCCATTTCAATGTGAAATATCCAAATTATTTCAACATTACAATGAGACAACTAGTTTGCATCATTGCAAACCGCTAATGTAGTGTCAGGAGTGTTTATTAACATTTATCAATATTATTTTCAGGAAATACACATAGGCCAACATTAGTTCAGTTTCACTTGGACAGTTTATTTAATACATGGGTTGTGGTAAACCCACTTTATGAAATATAGGAGAACTCTCACTGCAACTATACCTGAACTGCCAGCAAATGCAAATAAGTACATGCTCCATTAAATTAAATGTCATTCAACATTTATCAAATATTGTTTGCTTAATTACAGTTGTATGTCTAGCTAAATTAATATTCAAGCAAAACCTATATCCTGAAGTGCAATTTGATGTACACTTCAAGAAACAAGTTCATAGAAAATGCAGTTAACCAGGACTGCAACAATAATGCTTTATAGTAACAGGAAAAAAAAAAAATTAAAAAAAAAAAAAAAGCTCAAGTGTACTTCAATATATTTTCAAATATTTACTGGAATTAATTTACAAGAAAAATACTATACAAAATCGTCTCCTGGACAACTGCACCTCACACCGGTACATTGGTGGAGTTATATTTAATTGTTAGCTAATCTAGAACGATTTCCCAGTTGTACAAACCTCTAGGTTCAGGAGTATTTTACAAATATTTTATTTTTCTATATCCCCTCCCCCAGCCTTCCTCTTTTTGGCATTAGAACTGCAGCTTCGATTGAAACCATCCATGCTTCTTCACTTGTTTTGGAAATTAAAAAAAAAAAAAAAAAAAAAAAACAGTATATAACTTAAATCCCATTTCTTGCCAGCGTATTTTGTGAACCTACAGAAAAGGGAATTAAACAAATGCAAACAGAACGAAATTTGGACTTGGGAACATAAACGGTAATTTTTTAAGGGAATTTGGGAGGAGGAGAAGCAGGACAAACGCTCCGGTCCCCGGGAGGAGAGGAGCTTTTAACAATTAATGAGATTAGCGGAGTTCTGAGCTTCAGCCCCGGCGCTGTTTCAAGAATGACAATTGCGGCTGGCGGGCGCTGCCGTCGGGGGCTGCGACCCGCGGCCCCCCTGTCGCGGGGCAGCGCGGCCCGGCGCGCACCCGGCGGCCGGGCCGCTCCTCCGTTCCGCTCATCTCCGCGCCTCAGCGCGGCTGCCAGTGGCGGCCGTGATTTKCCGGTGCGGCTGGGGGCGGGTGGGCAAGGGGTGCAGGAGCGCTTCCAGTTGGAAAGTGAGAACTATTTTTGTTTGTTTTTCCCTCTTTAAATTAAAAAAAAAATTATAAAAGAAAGGGGGGAGGGTATAGGGGTGCTCCGAAAACAGAGTGGGAGGGACGCCGATGCCGCATAGGGAAGCCCAGGGGTGCTGGCGGCGGGGCCGCCCCGTCGCGCTGCCGCAGATCCTCGGCGGTGGCCGCTGCCTGCGAGCCGCGCTGCTGCTCTACGGGTCGCTGCCCCATTGCTGCCCCCCGTCTCGCGGCTCCTTCGCGTTGGCCCCACAGGCCGCCACGTGCGCTGCGCCCAGGCCAGCTCCTGGTGAGGCCGAGAGAGCGCCCACCGAAGGCAGCGCGCGTTACTTACGCGTCCGCGTCCCCGCCACAGTTTCTCCCGGCGGCGGCGGGCCGGCGGATGGCGGGGCTTCGCCGTCGGGCCCAGCCGCCCATTACTCCAGGCCATTCCGGTGGCCGGGCTCGGGGGGCGGCAGCAGCTCGGGCGAGTGGCAAGGCGGGCTGCCCGCCGCGCTGTGCTCGCTGTCGGTGTCGCTGCCCTTCTTRCCGCCAGGGCCGCCCCCGCCGGGGCCACCGCCGCCGGGGCCGCCCGCGCCACCGGGCCCGCTGTGGGTCTTGACGTGCTTGCTGAGGTGGTCGCTGCGCATGAAGCGCTTGTTGCACACGGGACACGCGAAGCGCTTCTCGCCCGTGTGGGTCCGCAGGTGCCGCTGCAGCTCGTCGGAGCGCGTGAAGCGCTTGCCGCAGAAGAGCCAGTTGCAGACGAAGGGCCGCTCGCCCGTGTGCCAGCGCAGGTGCGCCTTCAGGTGCGACGTCTTGCCGTACACCTTGCCRCAGCCRGGGATGTGGCAGCTGTGCAGCCCCTTGCGCCGCAGGCTCGCGCCCGCCGGGCCCAGCCGCTCGGCCTCCTGGCAGTTGGGGCAGTCGCAGGTGGCGCGGCCCGAGTAGCGGCGCGCGGAGCGGGCAGAGCCGCCGCCGGCCGCCGCCGCCGCCGCGCCCGAGATCATGGCGCTCGCGGCCGCCACCGCCGCGCTCGAGTCCGGGTACGAGGGCAGCACGGGCTTGAAGCCCTCCTGGCTCAGCAGGTGCTGGCTCGTGGAGAGCAGGTGCGAGGCGGCCGTGGAGCCCAGGCCCGTGGAGCTGAAGGCGGAGTGCGTGAGCGAGCTGAAGTCGGGGTTGTAGGTGCCCAGCTGGGAGTGCAGCGAGGCCTGGGGGGCGCCCGAGTGCAGCGAGCCCTGGAGCCCACCCGCCGGGTTCTGCACCTCGAGCCACGAGCCCGGGTTGCTGTGCACGTCCCACCACGAGGAGGCCGCGCCGTTGGCCACCTCGCCCGCCGAGAGCGTGGAGTGGAAGCCCGACTTGTACCAGGACTCGTAGGGGTGCGCCATGCCCACGCGCGGGTA